TACCATTCGTCTCCACTCACTCCTATCTAACACGCTCACGCACGCTTGCTGGAAGTCCAAGCCCCTTACCCACAAAACCTCCTTTACCCCCTCTCTCCAACCCTTTCGAGGACGACCCCTACCCCGCCTTCCTTCCCTATAGATTTATATGCTTTCCATGTCATTCTACTTTGATCCATTCTCTCTAAATGACCAAACCACCTCAACAACCCTCTTCTGCCCTCTGACTAATACTTTTATTAACTCCACACCTTCTCCTAATTTCCACACTCCGAATTTTCTGCATAATATTTACACCACACATTGCCCTTAAACAGGACATCTCCACTGCCTCCAACCGTCTCCTCGCTGCTGCATTTACCACCCAAGCTTCACACCCATATAAGAGTGTTGGTACTACTATACTTTCATACATTCCCTTCTTTGCCTCCATAGATAACGTTTTTTGACTCCACATATACCTCAACGCACCACTCACCTTTTTTCCCTCATCAATTCTATGATTAACCTCATCCTTCATAAATCCATCCGCCGACACGTCAACTCCCAAGTATCTGAAAACATTCACTTCTTCCATACTCCTCCTCCCCAATTTGATATCCAATTTTTTCTTTATCTAAATCATTTGACACCCTCATCACCTTACTCTTTTCTATGTTCACTTTCAACTTTCAACCTTTACACACATTCCCAAACTCATCCACTAACCTTTGCAATTTTTCTTTAGAATCTCCCATAAGCACAGTATCATCAGCAAAAAGTAACTGTGTCAATTCCCATTTTGAATTTGATACCCCATAATTTAATCCCACCCCTCTCCCAAACACCCTAGCATTTACTTCCTTTACAACCCCATCTATAAATATATTAAACAACCATGGTGACATTACACATCCCTGTCTAAGACCTACTTTTACCGGGAAGTAGTCTCCCTCTCTTCTACACACCCTAACCTGAGCCTCACTATCCTCATAAAAACTCTTTACAGCATTTAATAACTTTCCACCTATTCCATATACTTGCAACATCTGCCACATTGCTCCTCTATCCACTCTATCATATGCCTTTTCTAAATCCATAAATGCAATAAAAACTTCCCTATCTTTATCTAAATACTGTTCACATATATGCTTCAATGTAAACACCTGATCTACACATCCCCTACCCACTCTAAAACCTCCTTGCTCATCCGCAATCCTACATTCTGTCTTACCTCTAATTCTTTCAATTATAACCCTACCGTACACTTTTCCTGGTATACTCAGTAAGCTTATTCCTCTATAATTTTTACAGTCTCTTTTGTCCCTTTCCCTTTATATAAAGGGACTATACATGCTCTCTGCCAATCCCTAGGTACCTTCCCTCTTTCATACATTTATTAAACAAAAGTACCAACCACTCCAACACTATTACCCCCTGCTTTTAACATTTCTGTCATGATCCCATCAGTTCCAGCTGTTTTACCCCTTTCATTTTACGTAATGCCTCACGTACCTCACCCACACTTACATTCTGCTCTTCTTCACTCCTAAAAGATGGTATACCTCCCTGACCAGTGCATGAAATTACTGCCTCTGTTTCTTCCTTAACATTTTAAAAGTTCCTCAAAATATTCTCGCCATCTACCCAATACCTCCATCTCCCCATCTACTAACTCCCTACTCTGTTTTTAACTGACAAATCCATATTTTCCTAGGCTTTCTTAACTTGTTTAGCTCACTCCAAAATTTTTTCTTATTTTCATTAAAATTTCTTGACAGTGCCTCTCCCACTCTATCATCTGCTCTCCTTTTGCACTCTCTCACCACTCTCTTTACCTTTCTTTTACTCTCCATATACTTGCTCTTCTTATAACACTTCTGCTTTGTAAAAACCTCTCATAAGCTACCTTTTTCTCTTTTATCCACCCTTTACTTCATCATTCCACCAATCACTCCTCTTTCCTCCTGCCCCCACCCTCCTATACCCCACAAACTTCTGCCCCAATTCTAATACTGCATTTTTAAAACTATTCCAACCCTCTTCACCCCCCCACTACTCATCTTTGCACTAGCCCACCTTTCTGCCAATAGTCGCTTATATCTCACCCGAACTTCCTCCTCCCTTAGTTTATACACTTTCACTCCCTCTTACTTGTTGTTGCCACCTTCCTCTTTTCCCATCTACCTTTACTCTAACTGTAGCTACAATTTAAATAATGATCCGATTATATCAGTTGCCCTCTATAAACATGTACATCCTGGAGCCTACCCATCAACCTTTTATCCACCAATACATAATCAAATAAACTACTTTCATACGTGCTACATCATACCTTGTATATTTATTTATCCTCTTTTTCATAAAATATGTATTACTTATTACCAAATTTCTTTTACACATAGCTCAATTAAAGGCTCCCCATTTACATTTACCCCTGGCACCCCAAAATTTACCTACTACTCCTTCCATAACATTTTTACCACTTTTGCATTGAAATCCCCAACCACCATTACTCTCACACTTGATTCAAAACTCCCCACGCATTCACTCAACATTTCCCAAATCTCTCTCTCTCCTCTACACTTCTCTCTTCTCCAGGTGCATACACGCTTATTATAACCCACTTTTCACATCCAATCTTTATTTTACCCCACATAATCCTTGAATTAATACATTTATAGTCCCTCTTTTCCTGCCATAGCTTATCCTTCAACATTATTGCTACTCCTTCTTTAGCTCAAAACTCTATTTTGAACCCCTGACCTAATCCCATTTATTCCTCTCCACTGAAACTCTCCCACCCCCTTCAGCTTTGTTTCACTTAAAGCCAGGACATCCAGCTTCTTCTCATACATAACATCCACAATCATCTCTTTCTTATCATCTGTACAACATCCACGCACATTCAGACTTCCCACTTCGACAATTTTCTTCTTCTTATTCTTTTTAGTAATCTTTACAGGAAAAGGGGTTACTAGCCCATTGTTCCCGGCATTTTAGTTGACTTTTACAACGCGCATGGCTTACGGAGGAAAGATTCTTATTCCACTTCCCCATGGATATAAAAGGAAAATTAATAAGACCAAGAACTATTAAGATAAAATCAAAGAAAACTCAGATGAGTGTGTATAAATAAATGTGTACATGTATTTGTAGTGTGACCTAAGTGTAAGTAGAAGTAGCAAGACATGCCTGTAATCTTGCATATTTATGAGACAGACAAAAGACATCAGCAATCCTACCATCATGTAAAACAATCACAGGCTTCGTTTTACACTCACTTGGCAGGATGGTAGTACCTCCCTGGGTGGTTGCTGTCTACCAACCTACTACCTACTACTTTTTATATATCAGACAGAAAAACATTTCTGTGATTAATGATATAGTTCAATACATATACAGTGAACCCCCCCTTTTTGTCGATCTCTGTTATCGCCGATTTCCGTTTTCCCCAACTTTTTTCGTCAAAATATTGGTTCCGTTTTCATCGATTTCCTCTGTGTTCGTCGATGGTTTGGAACCTGTCCACTGCCCAGAGTCCATACAAAGCCACCTCCCACATGCATTCTCAGGCAGTGTCGTGTTGTTTCTTGGTGAGTGAACATATCCTGCAAGGTCATATGAAACATTTCGTAATAATCCATTGCTTTTGGCACTTGTTTATTGTGTGTGACTGCTAAATAAGCCACCATGGGCCCAAAGAAAGCTTCTAGTGCCAGCCCTTTGGTAAAGAATGTAAGAAACATGATAGAATTCAAGAAAAAGTTTGTAGAAAAATACAGAAGTGGTGGTGGTAGAGGGTGGTAGTGATGGTGGTAGAGAGAGACAGTGATGGTGGTAGAGTGGTAGTGATGGTGGAAGAGGGCAGTAGTGGTTGTGATGGTGGTAGAAGGTGGTGGTAGAGGGTGCCTTCTTCAGTGCTTCTACTAACTCCTCCAATGTTGTTGGAGTTATACAGGGCTACAGAGAACACCACTGCCTCAGCTGCTGCCTTCACTACCATTATGTACGGCTTATGCTCTCAGTGGCCCTTATACATCCAACAACAACAACAGAACACCTCTCGTGACATACATAATGACTTATTTTATTCATTCTAGAGTATATGTCATGTTTCTATTATTAATATTGTTTATTATGTGATATTAGTTGAACTGTGTTAGATAAATAAGCCGTAGAGTTGATATTAGTGTCATATTCTCCAACAGTAACTCGCCTCCCTCTCTCGTCTGCCATACAACAAGAGTCTTCAATAAAGGTAAGTGTGATGTTAAATGTTCATTTATACATTCTATTAGTGCTTTATATTTGTCATTCTTTTCTGCATGTAAATCTATATTTAAGCTAGGGAAGTGACCCCTGATAAGGACTTGGTACCTAGAGTCCTTATGGAGGGGGATTTCCCTTCCAAACAATAACATCTCTTCCCTCTCCCCTCCTCCCTGTCTTCCATCCATCAACCATAGCCTTCAGTAAAGGAAAGTGTCATGTTGAGTGTTCATTCTTTTATGCATGTAAATCTATCTTTAAGGTAAAAAAAAAAAAATTTTTGTTAATACTTCTGGGTGTCTGGAATGGATTAATTGGATTTACATTATTTCTTATGGGGAAAATGGTTTCCATTTTCGCCAATTTCTGTTTCTGCCAATCACTCTGGAATGGATTAAACACAAAAACCGAGGGTCCACTGTATTAAACTTACCCAAAGGTCTCTCCCTTTCCTACAAATCCAATAACAGTTACTGCGCTCAATCTCATCGCTAGCAATGGAATTTATACCAGCTACATGAGGCTTGTTTTTTCACATCACACATTTAAAGCACACAATAAATGCACCCATCAATAAATCATACAAATTTATATTCGATATTACTTGCTCTATATGTTAAAACTAACTAAAGTCCCATTCATAGAAATTAAAAATTATTTTGTAACCCTTTTCTGATTTTATAGATAAGGTATTATTTATTAAGATTTCCAAAATGCTACACTAATAGCAAAAATGAAAGACCTCATACCTAGACGTCTGACTCCCTTTGCCCTGGGTCATTCCCCGCCTCAGCAACATAATGAATGAAACCCACAGAACTGGGAGAGTCAGCAGTCTTGGGTCGCTGAAGCTTACAATGACTGGAACACAGCCCATAGACCAGTCAAAACACAACCAAATTGGCAGAACCAGGAGAAGAGCATTCATGCTGTAGGTATACTGATAATTCAAACTCTGTGGAGAAAATATAGCATTTTCAGTTCATTCAGAAATATAAAATGCACATCTAGTAAATCATCTGCAAATACAATATACAGTAGTCAGCTTTCTTATAAAGCTCCTCTACACAGTGCAAATTTAAAAAAAATGCAACTGAAAAAAGTGCATCAAAAATTAAAAAGTATGTATTATGAAAGCCTCTCTGGAACTATTCAATTTTGGATATACTTTTTCATAGCATTTATAAACAAATTGCACAACAGAAAGGAGCTTCATAAGAGGGTTGACTGTTTATAAGGAAAGGAAATGCATTATGCAACATGCAAGTTCAAGATGCAAATTCAAAGTGAAGACTAACTAATGCACCAAATCATAACTTACAAAATACATATTTAAATAAATATCACTTAGCCTTTGAAAAAATGTATAATGTCTAGAAAAAGGGTTATAAAAGTTAAGCATTTATTATGACATTTTGCCATAATCCTACAGGTTGCCAGTTCACACTGACCTGTAAGTGGCACTCTAACCTTCCTCTCAAACAAATCCTAAAATTTATGATACCTGATACTTATTGTGCTATAGGATGTCAAAATGCATGTGATGAATCATCTGGCTTATCATTTTATCAGACATTACATAACAACAGCTGCAATAACTCTCAACTCATGCCACCCTACAAGCATCAATCAAGTTCTTAGTTCAAGTATGCCATGTAGCATCACTGCAACCAATAATTTGGGAAGCTTTTAAAATAGGTTATGACATATATATGGGTGAGAATGATTGGGTATGAGAAACTGCTTAGCACAGGCCATTAGGTCTACTGCAGTACCTAATATTCTTACATTCTCATACAATAATACCCAATACATGTTACACATAAGAGCATCAAAGTGTGCATGAAAGCTACCTGACAGACCATAAGATGATAATTCAAATAAAGCAGTTATCTCTCAACATTTATGACACCAACACCATATGTTTAAAGTTTAAAATAAATGATCATGGCACAAAATATTAAACACAAAATCCTATCAACAGCAATCTGCCAAAAGTATCCCACTAAATCTTCTATCCAAAGACTTGCATTAACAGAATTCCACCAACAGTCATCTACCAAGAGAATCCTGTCAACAATAATCTACCAACAATATCTACAATCATCTATCAAAGCCTTCTAGAGTCAGAAATTCACCAAACACCTACCAACAGTCTTCTATGAAAATTCCTTTGCTAACAGAATCACACGATCAGACATTCACTAACAGAATCTACCAAGGGAATCCAACCAGAAGCTGGTTATCAACATATTTCAACCAGCAATCATCTATGAACATAATTCAATCAGTAGTCATTTTCCAGCTTATACCAACCTCCTTTACAGCACCTATGAGTAGCAGCTAACTCTGCTCACTGAAATGAGTGAAGCAGAGAGAGAGAAAGTGACAGTGCATAAGACAGCACAAGCAAGGGAATCAGAATGAATGAGCAAAAGGAGTGTATGTGAGAGAGTGAAAAAGAGTGAGAGCAGGGCAAAACTGCAAGCACTAGGAGTCGTTGGCTCTGCACTATGCCTCCTTAATGATTACCTTCAAGGTAGATCTCTAAGAGTAGTTCTCAAAGGGACAGTGTCAACATGACATTATATGTACCAGTGTTCCAATGGGAAGCGTGCTTGGGCCATTTTTATGGAATGTCTACTTCAATGACCTTCTTTAACTCACCCCAGAATCCCATTCATATGCCTTTGACTGTGCTCTGACATTTACTTTTCTAAGAGAGGAAATGCCAGCTGCTCCAGTTACATCACCATCTTACAGCTGTATCAATCTGAGAAAAATAATGGCAGGTCACATTTGCTTCTGAAAAAATACAAATGATGATGGTATCTAAGCACCATGATGATAATGCTGGAGCAGTGGTAAGAATGAATGGGAGAGTGTTAGAACCAGGGAATGAGGTTGAAATCCTTGAGGCAAAATTTGATTCCTAACTGACTATGAAGAACCACATAGTAAATCTTGTAAACAAAGCTGCCAGGAAGCTTACAACACTTACATGTATCTAGCATCTGTCTGACAATAGAGGTTGCAAGATTTTACGCGAGTCATAAGTGTGTTCACGTCTTGAGTGTGCTCCACTTTCTCAAGCCTGCCTGCCTCCCCGTCTCATCTACAACATCTTGACAGAACAGAGAACAGAGCAAGATGATTCATCTTTCATTTGGACCCTACCTGGACAGATCTGTCATTTCAGCAGAGCCTTCAACACCAGAGGGATCTGGGTAGCCTTACTGTGATGTATAAGGTCAATATTGTCAAGGTACCACACTAGATTCCCCTTCATGGATAATGAGAAGAGAGCTTCTACACAACAAGGCAGGCAGCAAACAGAAACTACACTCTGACTGTACCCTTCTCAAGAACATCACTTCAACTGAGATCATTCACTCCTAGAATGACTCGAGTCTCGAACATTTTTACACAGCATAATGACATCAATGAAATCACTGGCCCACAGATGGTTCCAACTTCATCCTATTCCCTATTTGTACATCACATAAAAATAAAAAGGCTTTCAAATGAGCTGAGGTAGGTAACAGCTCTTAGCTTGTAAATAAAGGTTGTTAATCATAACCTAACTCTCTAAAAATCTTGTGTAAAAAACAAAAAAAAAAAAAAAAAGAAGAGGAGGAGGAGGAGAAGAGGAAGAGAGAGAGAAAGAGAAAGAAGAGGAAAAGAGAGAGAGAAGAGAGAGAGAAAGAGAGAGAGAGAAAGAGAGAAAAGAGAGAGAGAGAGAAAGAGAGGAGAAAGAGAGAGAAAGAGAAAGAGAGAGAGAAAGAGAGAGAAGAGAGAAGAGTAGAGAGAGAAGAGAGAGAGAAGATAGAGAAGAGAGAGAGTAGAGAGAAGAGTAAGAGAGAGAGAGTAGAAGAGAGAAGAGAGAAGAGAGAAGTTAGAGAGAAAGTAGAGAGAAGAGAAAAGATAGAGAGAGAGAAGAGAAGAATACAAGTGAGAAAATGAGAGAGTAGAAAGAGTTAGAGAGAAGAAAGTATGAGACAAGAGGTAGAGAAGAGCACATGAAATTAGAGAAAAATAAGTGAAAAAGAGGAGCTAGGTAAAGAGTGCAAAGAAGAGAAAAAATAAAAGACAGAGGTGGAAAATTTGAGGCATTTGAATTGCAAGATAAAAATGAATAATAATTAAGTGACCAAGGAAAACAATGACAACAATGTAAGGACAAAACTATAATGCATTATAAAAAAAATTTAGCATATTGAATTTGTCCTACAAATTTTGAGCTTTGATGATTACCAAACTGTAAGTTACCAATGCACTATGATAAGGCGCTAGTGAAAAAAAAATAGAAAAATTGTACATTTTCCCACAAATTTAGCTGGTTTGTATTCACAAAAGTCATTACCCTGTTTTCGAGGCCAGCCATGAAGAAACTGATTGTCCAAAGTTTCTGACGATGGGTTCCACTCCCAAATCTTGAGTGGTTTTTAATTCACATTAAAGTCAATATTAACCCTTTCAGGGTCCATGCCATAGATCTACGGCTTTATGTTGAGGGTCCAAACCGTAGATCTACGCCATGAGCTCAGCTCACTCTGATAAGCTGTGAGTGGTAAATTTGGGCCTAGATATGACAGAATACATCTATGTGGTATGTGTGCACCACATAAAATAAATCCTGCAGCACACAGTGCATAATGAGAAAAAAACTGAGACCGTAATTTTCGATTAAAACAGCAAGTTTGCAGTGTTTTTTGTATGTTTTTTATAGTTGTATTTGTGATTTCTTGGTCTCATTTGATAGAATGGAAGATATATTACAGAAACAGAGATGATTTTGATTGGTTTTAGTATTGAAAATGGCTTGAAACTGAGCTCAAAGTACTGGAAATGTTAAATTTTTGCGATGTTCAAGAGTAAACAAATGACCTCACACATCTAATACACACCAGCTAGTGGGTCTAATATATGTTCACAAATGTGCTGATATTATTTATACAATTATTACAATATTGCATGACAGTAAATCTTCTATTTTTTTATTTGAATAAAAATTCATTAGGTGAATTAAAAGTCAAAATGGAATTCATGTGTAAAGCCTGAAAATGTAACTAATGAACAGAGGAAATGTTAGTTTAGTGCCAGGAATGCCTGCATTGTTTATTCTGGACCCTATTTTGAAATTGGAATATTTTGAACTTTGCACTAAATTGGCCAAATTACCAATTTCCAATCACTTTATTTTATAGTTGAAACAGGTGGTTGGCGATTTCTTGTGCTCAATCAATAGAATAGAAGTAATACTACTGAAATAGCTAAGAATTTGATTGACTGGGATAAGGTAATTGGCCTAAAATGGGAGTCAAAGTCAGCAAAATCGCTGATGTGTAAATATCGCTGGCACATCAAAATTCGCGAGAGCATATTTTTGTCAATTTTCCATCAAATTTCGTACTTTTTGTTTTATTACCTTCAGTAAAAGATTCTCTACCATTTCACAAGAAAAAATAAAATTATTTTTTGAAAAATCTTGGACACTGGTGCAAACTTTGAAATTTGGCCTCTGGACCCTGAAAGGGTTAACGAGAATAGACCGACATATTAGAGATGTGGTCTCTGAAGCACAAAATAAATAAAAATCAGAAACAAGATTTGTTGGGTAGACATAATTTTGTATTATCTGCCCATTTTTAGCCTCATGGGACCCCTAGGAATGTACACAGCCCCAGCAAATTTGTTGAGACAACTGCATAGAGCAAAATAACTCGTGGGTAAACTAAGTACAGCAACACATGTGAATAAATGGTAAATAAACTTCTCACTGTACCTTGGAAGTCATACTTGTACATCAAGTAACCAGAATGTATACATTAACAGAATGTATACATAAGTGGAAATTAACAATTTAGTTTAATTTTAGATAAAGTAACTTACCCAAACATTTAATTTTTATATTCTAAAGAGTGTATTAAGAGAGAATTAATTTTTGTATATTTTGAGTTTCACTTCTTTTAGAGATAAAACAAAAATTATAAAATTGAAAATTCTGATACATAATAACTATTTCTACAAGCTTAAAAGATAACTAAATACAATGTCATGTAATAGCACAAATGAACTGATATTAAATACTCACTCTAAAGAAAATACTATCTAAAAATGAAGCGGGATTGTCCACTTTCATGAACTTTGGCACAGTAGAGCCCATAACAACCCAACGAGCCACCAGCAGTGCTATACCTGTTACTGCTAGCAACACATGACGCCATATAAGACCACGAACTACACCATCTGAAAAAAAAAAAAATAAAATTATTATTCTAAAAAACCTCCACCTTGACTATCTCGCATTATTAAGATTAGATAAAACTGTAAAACAGTTAACAACTACTGTCTTGTCTAGTTTTAAGTAGCTACTATGTACTATTATCTGTCTAGTTTTAAGTAGCTATGTACTATTATCTGTCTAGTTTTAAGTAGTTACTATCTTTTAGGATTAGTTTGCCCGAAATGCCCCAGCACGACAGTGGCTTTCTTTGTACTTAGTAAACCAAAATTGTAATTACGCATTGTAACCTTTACAAAGAAATAAACCTTTATCTTTAAAAAATTAACGGAGACTAAATACTGCCATCTCTCTCATTTTCATAAATGAAACTACAGTATTTGGGATGTACTGAATATTTACATTTAAATAATATAAACTTTGCATTTTATACTTCATACAGAACAATGTATAAGCAGCAAAGTCTTTTCCTCCAATGATGGAAAATCCAAGTTAAGATTTTCAGAGTGAAACTAGTCCTTCACATAAATTGGACTGACTTTAATGATGTACTGGAAAATGTCTCCTATTAACCCCTTAACTGTCCAAAGGTAAATCTATGTTCTCTCGCCCAGTGCTCCAAATATTTTTGAAAAAAAAAAAAAATTATTAACCCTTCAACTGTCCAAATGTAGATCTACATTCGCTCGTGTAGCACTCTGAACGTAGATCTACATTTTTTTTTTACATTCTTTATGGGGAAAATCAAGGTCGGAGCGCTACACGTGCAAACGTAGATCTATGTTTGGACAGTTTAAGGGCTAAAATAAAGAGGGCATTTTTCTACATGTTGCCAATTTAGCTTTTTTATTCTTTTTTTTTTTAATTTATATAATTTTTATGTTCTGATAATTACAATTTGTAGTAGGTCTTGTGATTTCATAGCCAATCTTTGTTCTGACACTAATATTAGGTACTGAAATAGAACTCAAATAATCAAACATATTGACAGGTGAACATTTTCATCTACCTTGGTCACATACTATTGTCTATATAGTATTTACACGTCCCAGCAATGCTTTAGACACGCTGGAGTATACATGAAACTCCTTGAAGCATGGCGTAAGGTGAGTGTTATTCCACTGCTGACAGTGCAGCAATGGTGTGATATTTGATCATGCACTGTCTTGGCTTTATTTGTTTTCACTGTTACACATAAACATGTCTGTCTGTCTGGCTCTCTCTGCTTATCTGTCTTTCTGTCTCTTTGCTTGTCTTTCTGTCTCTGCTTTCTGTCTCAGAGAGAGCCACTCATGAACCAACAGATATTACACACGATGCAGTCATCACGTCTGATTCCTGAACAAGTGAAAATGCGTATTACTTGCCAGTCATGCTTATTATGCATTATATCTACAGGTAGTAGGTTGGTAGACAGCAACCACCCAGGGAGGTACTACCGTTCTGCCAAGTGAGTGTAAAACGAAAGCCTGTAATTGTTTTACATGATGGTAGGATTGCTGGTGTCTTTTGTCTGTCTCATAATTATGCAAGTTTACAGGTAAGTCTTGCTACTTCTACTTACACTTAGGTCACACTAAACATACATGTACATGTTTATTTATATACACTCATCTGAGTTTTCTTTGATTTTATCTTCGTTCTTGTTCTAATTACTTTTCCTTTTATATCAATGGGGAAGTCGAATAAGAATCTTTCCTCCGTAAGCCATGTGTGTTGTAAAAGTCAACTAAAATACCGGGAACAATGGGCTAGTAACCCCTTTTCCTGTAAAAATTACTAAAAAGAATAATAATAAGAAAATTGTCAAAGTGGGAAGTTTGAATGTGCGTGGATGTTGTGTGAATGATAAGAAAGAGATGATTGTGGATGTTATGAATGAGAAGAAGCTGGATATCCTGGCTTTAAGTGAAACAAAGCTGAAGGGGGTGGGTGAGTTTCATTGGAGAGGAATAAATGGGATTAGGTCAGGGGTTTCTAATAGCATTAGAGCTAAAGAAGGAGTAGCAATAATGTTGAAGGATAAGCTATGGCAGGAAAAGAGGGACTATAAATGTATTAATTCAAGGATTATGTGGAGTAAAATAAAGGTTGGATGTGAGAAGTAGGTTATAGTAAGCCTTTATGCACCTGGGGAAGAGAGAAGTATAGAGGAGAGAGAGAGATTTTGGGAAATATTGAGTAATTGCATGGGGAATTTTGAACCAAGTGTGAGAGTACTTGTGGCTGGGGATTTTAATGCTAAAGTGGGAAAAAATGTTGTGGAGGGAGTAGTAGGTAAATTTGGGGTGCCAGGGGTAAGTGAAAATGGAGAGCCTTTAATTGAGCTATGTGTAGAAAGAGGTTTGGTAATAAGTAATACATATTTTATGAAAAAGAGGATAAATAAATATACAAGGTATGATGTAGCACGTAATGAAAGTAGTTTGTTAGATTATGTATTGGTGGATAAAAGGTTGATGGGTAGACTCCGGGATGTACACGTTTATAGAGGGGCAACTGATATATAGGATCATTATCTAGTTGTAGCTACAGTTAGAGTAAGAGGTAGATGGGATAAGAGGAAAATGGCAACAAGAAGTAAGAGGGAGGTGAAAGTGTATAAACTAAGGGAGGAGGAAGTTCGGGTGAAATATATGCAACTATTGGCAGAAAGGCGGGCTGGTGCAGGTATGAGTAGTGGGGGGGGTTGAAGAGGGTTGGAATAGCTTTAAAAATGGATTATTAGAATGTGGGGCAGAAGTTTGTGGTTATAGGAGGGTGGGTGCAGGAGGAAAGAGGAGTGATTGGTGGAATGATGAAGTAAAGGATGTGATAAAAGAGAAAAAGGTAGCTTATGAGAGGTATTTACAAAGCAGAAGTGTTATAAGAAGAGTAGAGTATATGGAGAGTAAAAGAAAGGTGAAGAGAGTGGTGAGAGAGTGCAAAAGGAGAGCGGATGATAGAGTGGGAGAGGTACTGTCAAGGAATTTTAATGAAAATAAGAAAAAATTTTGGAGTTAAACAAGTTAAGAAAGCCTAGGGAACAAATGGATTTATCAGTTAAAAACAGAGAAGGGTAGTTAGTAGATGGGGAGATGGAGGTTTTGGGTAGATGGCAAGAATGTTTTGAGGAACTTTTAAATGTCGACGAAGAAAGGGAGGCAGTAACTTCATGCGCTGGCCAGAGAGGTATATCATCTTTTAGGAGTGAAGAAGAACAGGATGTGAGTGTGGGGGAGGCGCGTGAGGCATTACGTAGAATGAAAGGGGGTAAAGCAGCTGGAACTGACAGGATCATGACAGAAATGTTAAAAGCAGGGGGGGAGGGGGGACATAGTGTTGTTGGAGTGGTTGGTATTTTTGTTTAATAAATGTATGAAAGAGAGGAAGGTACCTAGGGATTGGCGGAGAGCGTGTATAGTCCCTTTATATAAAGGGAAGGGGGACAAAAGAGATTGTAAAAATTATAGAGGAATAAGTTTACTGAGTATACTAGGAAAAGTGTACAGTAGGGTTATTACTGAAAGAATTAGAGGTAAGACAGAATGTAGAATTGCGGATGAGCAAGGAGGTTTTAAAGTGGGTGGGGGATGTGTAGATCAAGTGTTTACATTGAAGCATATATGTGAGCAGTACAGTGGACCCCCGCATACCGTTGGCATCACATAACGTTAAATCCGCATACCGATACATTTTATCGCTAAGATTTTGCCTCGCATACCGCTAAAAAACCCGCTCAACGCTATTCGTCCGAGACGCGTCTAATGTGCGGCCTGAGCCAGCCTCACATGTTCCGCCGGTGGCATTGTTTACCAGCCAGCCTCCGCGGTAACATCCAAGCATACAATCGGAACATTTCGTATTACAGTGTTTTGGTGATTTTATCTGCAAAATAAGTGACCATGGGCCCCAAGAAAGCTTCTAGTGCCAACCCTACAGGAATAAGGGTGAGAATTACTATAGAGATGAAGAAAGAGATCATTGCTAAGTATGAAAGTGGAGTGCGTGTCTCCGAGCTGGCCAGGTTGTATAGTAAACCCCAATCAACCATCGCTACTATTGTGTCCAACAAGAAGGCAATCAAGGAAGCTGTTCTTGCCAAAGGTTCAACTGTGTTTTTGAAACAGAGATCGCAAGTGATGGAATATGTTAAGAGACTCTTATTGGTGTGGATAAATGAAAAACAGATAGCAGGAGATAGCATCTCTCAAGTGATCACAAGTGAAAAGGCTAGGAGCTGAAAAATATGTGCAGGAATTCAAGGAGTACATAGACAGTGAAGGACTGAAACCTGAACAAGTGTTTAATTGTGATGAAACAGGCCTGTTTTGGAAGAAAATGCCAAGCAGGACCTACATTACTCAGGAGGAAAAGGCACTCCCAGGACATAAGCCTATGAAAGACAGGCTTACTCTGTTGATGTGTTCCAATGTTAGTGGTGATTGCAAAGTGAAGCCTTTATTAGTGTATCACTCAGAAACTCCCAGAGCGTTCAGGCAAAAGAATATCCTCAAGGCTAATTTGTGTGTGCTGTGGAGGGCAAACAGTAAGGCATGGGTTGCTAGGGACTTTTTCTATGACTGGTTACACCAAGCATTTGCCCCCAATGTGAAAGATTACCTAACTGAAAAGAAATTAGACCTTAAGTGCCTCCTGGTGTTAGACAATGCCCCTGGTCATCCTACAGACGTGGCAGAGCAACTTTATGGGGACATGAGCTTCATTAAGGTGAAGTTTTTGCCTCCTAATACCACTCCTCTCCTGCAGCCCATGGACCAGCAGGTTATTGTAAACTTCAAAAAACTGTACACAAAAGCTCTGTTTGAAAGGTGCTTTGTAGTGACCTCAGAAACTCAATTGACTCTAAGAGAGTTTTGGAGAGAGCACTTTAATATCCTCAATTGTGTAAACCTTATAGGTAAGGCTTGGGAGGGAGTGACTAAGAGGACCTTGAACTCTGCTTGGAAGAAACTGTGGCCAGAATGTGTAGACCAAAGGGATTTTGAAGGGTTTGAGGCTAACCCTGGGAATCCTATGCCAGTTGAGGAATCCATTGTGGCATTGGGAAAGTCCTTGGGGTTGGAGGTTAGTGGGGATGATGTGGAAGAGTTGGTGGAGGAGGACAACGAAGAACTAACCACTAATGAGCTGCTAGATCATCTTGAACAGCAAGAGGGCAGACCTGAGGAAACTGCTTCGGAGGAGGGGAGAGAGAAATTGAAGAAGTTGCCTACTTCAAAGATTAAGGAAATGTGTGGAATGTGGCTTAAAATGCAAACCTTTTTTGATGACAATCACCCTAACACAGCTATTGCAAGCCGTGCTGGTGACTATTACACTGACAATGTTGTGAACCACTTTAGGAAAGTCATAAAGGAACGGGAGGTACAGGCCTCTATGGACAGATATGTTGTGCGACAGAAGTCCAGTGACTGAAGCTGGTCCTAGTGGCATTAAAAGAAGAAGGGAAGTAACCCCGGAAAAGGACTTGACACCTCAAGTCTTAATGGAAGGGGATTCCCCTTCTAAACACTAAGACTCTCTCCTCCTCCCATCCCATCAATCATCACCAGATCTTCAATAAAGGTAAGTGTCATGTAACTGTGCATGTCTTTTTCAGTTTGTGTGTATTAAAATTAATATTTCATGTGGTAAAATTTTTTTTTTCATACTTTGGGGTGTCTTGCACGGATTAATTTGATTTCCATTATTTCTTATGGGGAAAATTCATTCGCATAACGATAATTTCGCATAACAATGAGCTCTCAGGAACGGATTAATATCGTTATGTGGGGGTCCACTGTATTTAGATAAAGGTAGGGAAGTTTTTATTGCATTTATGGATTTAGAAAAGGCATATGATAGAGTGGATAGGGGAGCAATGTGGCAGATGTTGCAAGTGTATGGAATAGGTGGTAAGTTACTAAATGCTGTAAAGAGTTTTTATGAGGATAGTGAGGCTCAGGTTAGGGTGTGTAGAAGAGAGGGAGACTACTTCCCGGTAAAAGTAGGTCATAGACAGGAATGTGTAATGTCACCATGGTTGTTTAATATATTTACAGATGGGGTTGTAAAAGAAGTAAATGCTAGGGTGTTCAGGAGAGGGGTGGAATTAAATTATGGGGAATCAAATACAAAATGGGAATTGACACAGTTACTTTTTGCTGATAATACTGTGCTTATGGGAGATTCTAAAGAAAAATTGCAAAGGTTAGTGGACGAATTTGGGAATGTGTGTAAAGGTAGAAAGTTGAAAGTGAACATAGAAAAGAGTAAGGTGATGAGAGTATCAAATGATTTAGATAAAGAAAAATTGGATATCAAATTGGGGAGGAGGAGTATGGAAGAAGTGAATGTTTTCAGATATTTGGGAGTTGATGTGTCAGCGGATGGATTTATGAAGGATGAGGTTAATCATAGAATTGATGAAGGAATAAAGGTGAGTGGTGCATTGAGGTATATGTGGAGGCAAAAAAACGTTATCTATGGAGGCAAAGAAGGGAATGTATGAAAGTATAGTAGTACCAACACTCTTATATGGGTGTGAAGCTTGGGTTGTAAATGCTGCAGCAAGGAGGCGGTTGGAGGCAGTGGAGATGTCCTGTCTAAGAGCTATGTGTGGTGTAAATATTATGCAGAAAATTTGGAGTGTGGAAATTAGGAGAAGGTGTGGAGTTAATAAAAGTATTAGCCAGAGGGCTGAAGAGGGTTTGTTGAGGTGGTTTGGTCATTTAGAGAGAATGGATCAAAGTAGAACAACATGGAAAGCGTATAAATCTGTAGGGGAAGGAAGGCGGGGTAGGGGTCGTCTTTGAAAAGGTTGGAGGGAGGGCGTTAAGGAGGTGTTGTGGGTGAGGGGTTGGACTTCCAGCAAGCGTGCGTGAGTGTGTAGATCTATGTTTGGACAGTTTCAGCGTTAATACGATACGACATCAGTGAATCCCTGGTGTTTGCCACGCTGCTTGCTCTAGCTGCCGCTCGATTGAACTGGTGCTCCCGCAAGGTACTAAGTGGTCCCAGATTTTTTAATACTGCGCACACCAAGTGTTAATACTCATTCTATACTGACCAGGCATCTCAGGCCAATTGTGCCAAATTTGGAGGTAGGAAAAATAAAATGCTGATCTATGCTTTGAGTGTTAGCGGTAACAACATAGATCTACGTTTGGACAGTTAAGGGGTTATATCACGAGTGTTAATGGATATACTATATATTTTGGGAACATCACAAGAAACACAAAGAAGTGCAGTAGTTTTGTAAAAGATTTTATTGATTAACTCCTTCGATTTTGGTCCTGTAATATTATGGCTTTGAAGTCAGTGTCAGTCCTATAATACTATGCCAAAATTCTAGCGGCTTCAAATCTTGCGGGAGAAAGCTGGTAGGCATACATACGAGAGAATGGGTCTGTGTGGTCAGTGTACACAGTATAAAAAAAATCCTGCAGCACGCAGTGCACAAAGAGAAAAAAAACTGCGACTGTGTTTTTGGTTTAAAACAGCAACTTTGTGGTGTATTTTCGTATGGCATTTATGGTTGTATTCTTGTTTCCTTGGTCTCACTGATAGAATGGAAGATATATTACATAAACGGAGGTGATTTTGAATGGTTTACTGACTAAAAGGAGCTTGAAATTGAGCTCAAAGTAGCAGAAATGTTAGATTTTTGATAATGTTTAAGAGTAAACAACACACGTCAAGCATCCAATACACATCAACTTGTGGGTCTAATATGTATTCACAAATGCATTATATTATTTACACAATTATTACAATTATGCAGTAGTCTGAATAACAGTAAATCATCTATTTTTTTTACGTGAATAAAAATTCAAAATGAAAAGCAAGCGTAATATAAGAGGGGCCTGGAGACATGACTAATGAACAGAGAAATATTATTTTAGTGCCATGAATGTCTGCATTGTTTATTCTGGACCTTATTTTGAACTTGGCCTTTCTAGAATTGTGTGAAACTGACCAAATTAGTAATTTCTGATCACTTTTTTGTGTAGCTGAAATAGGTAAATGAACAATTTCTTGTACTCAATTGATAGAATAAAAGGAGTTCTAGCAAAAGTGCTATAGGTTTGGTCAAGTGGAACAAAGGAATTGGCCCAAAATAGGGCTCAAAATGGGCAAAATCGCCAATGCATAAACATGGCAGAGACCTCTAACTTCACGAGAGCATAATTCCATAAGTTTTCAATCAAATTTTGAACTTTTGGTTTCATTACCTTCAGAAAGAAATTATCATTTCAAAGGATTTTTTTTTTTAAATACTTCGACACTATGAGCAAGTTTGACACTCAAAGGGTTAAGATTATAAAAGGGCTGTCATAAATAAACAGATGAAAACTAAGGTAATACCTGGAAGATTTCTCCAAAGAGATAATGCCCGATGATTGTGACCAATGGTAAGTGAAATAAGGGTGCGGCCTATCAAGCCCCCATGAGCTAGTAAAACATCATATGCACTGCAGACTCCCTGAAAACAAAAAAATAAGGGTGAGAAAACATAATAGTGTATTGGTAAATGTCAGGGTGTCTATTTCTCTCTAGCTCCATTCCAAGAAGTAAAGTGGTCAATGACCATCTCAAACTTACTTCTTATTCAGGCTGAGGAAATGATCACATCGTATCAACACCACATTTTCTGTCTCCTTTGTATTTTGATTGAAAAAGACTGCTGAACAGGTGGAATATCTCCTCAATAATTACACCAGACTGTTGCACATCCCCGTTACTCATCTACCTGCCAATACAGTGGACCCCCGGTTAACGATATTTTTTCATTCCAGAAGTATGTTCAGGTGCCAGTACTAACCGAATTTGTTCCCATAAGGAATATTGTGAAGTAGATTAGTCCATTTCAGACCCCCAAATATACACATGCAAACGCACTTACATAAATACACTTACATACTTGGTCGCATTGGGAGGTGATCGTTAAGTGGGGGTCCACTGTACTGTATACCAGTCATGAAATGAAGCTCAGATTAACAACCTATGTATATCTAGGTAGTAGGTTGGTAGACAGCAACTGCCCAGGGAGGTACTTACCATACTGCCAAGTGAGTGTAAAACGAAAGCCAGTAATTGTTTTACATGATGGTAGGATTGCTGGTGTCCTTTTTTGTCTCATAAACATGCAAGATTTCAGGTATATCTTGCTACTTCTACTTACACTTTGGTCACACTACACATACATATACAAGCATATACAGTGGACCCCCGAGTTTTGTGATTAATCCGTTCCAGAGAGCCTGCCGAAAGTCGAAATTGCCGAATGGAGAAACCATTTTCCCCATAAGAAATAATGGAAATAAAATTAATCCATTCCAGACACCCAAAAATATTAAAATAAAATTTTTTTTTTCAAATTAAATAAAGATTTACATACTGAAAACAATGAGAAATCAAGTACATGCATATAAAAATAATAACAACATTACGTAGGTAGTAGGTTGGTAGACAGCAACCACCCAGGGAAGTACTACCGTCCTGCCAGATGACTGTGAAACAAAAACCTGTAACTGTTTTGCATGATGGTAGGATTGCTGGTTTCTTTTTTCTGTCTCATAAACACGCTAGATAACAGAGATATCTTGCTACTCCTACTTACACTTTGGTCACACTTCACAGACACGCACATGCATATATACATACATCTAGGTTTTTCTCCGTTTTCTAAATAGCTCTTGTTCTTCTTTATTTCTTCTATTGTCCATGGGGAAGTGGAAAAGAATCTTTCCTCCGTAAGCCATGCGTGTCGTATGAGGCGACTAAAATGCCGGGAGCAATGGGCTAGTAACCCCTTCTAGTGTAGACATTTACTAAAAAAGAGAAGAAGAAAAACTTTATAAAACTGGGATGCTTAAATGTGCGTGGATGTAGTGCGGATGACAAGAAACAGATGATTGCTGATGTTATGAATGAAAAGAAGTTGGATGTCCTGGCCCTAAGCGAAACAAAGCTGAAGGGGGTAGAAGAGTTTCAGTGGGGGGAAATAAATGGGATTAAATCTGGAGTATCTGAGAGAGTTAGAGCAAAGGAAGGGGTAGCAGTAATGTTAAATGATCAGTTATGGAAGGAGAAAAGAGAATATGAATGTGTAAATTCAAGAATTATGTGGATTAAAGTAAAGGTTGGATGTGAGAAGTGGGTCATAATAAGCGTGTATGCACCCGGAGAAGAGAGGAATGCAGAGGAGAGAGAGAGATTTTGGGAGATGTTAAGTGAATGTATAGGAGCCTTTGAACCAAGTGAGAGAGTAATTGTGGTAGGGGACCTGAATGCTAAAGTAGGAAAAAACTTTTAGAGAGGGTGTGGTAGGTAAGTTTGGGGTGCCAGGTGTAAATGATAATGGGAGCCCTTTGATTGAACTTTGTATAGAAAGGGGTTTAGTTATAGGTAATACATTTTTTAAAGAAAAAGAGGATAAATAAGTATACAAGATATGATGTAGGGCGAAATGACAGTAGTTTGTTGGATTATGTATTGGTAGATAAAAGGACTGTTGAGTAGACTTCAGGATGTACATGTTTATAGAGGGGCCACAGATATATCAGATCACTTTCTAGTTGTAGCTACACTGAGAGTAAAAGGTAGATGGGATACAAGGAGAATAGAAGCATCAGGGAAGAGAGAGGTGAAGGTTTATAAACTAAAAGAGGAGGCAGTTAGAGTAAGATATAAACAGCTATTGGAGGATAGATGGGCTAATGAGAGCATAGGCAATGGGGTCAAAGAGGTATGGGGTAGGTTTAAAAATGTAGTGTTAGAGTGTTCAGCAGAAGTTTGTGGTTACAGGAAAGTGGGTGCATGAGGGAAGAGGAGTGATTGGTGGAATGATGATGTAAAGAGAGTAGTAAGGGAGAAAAAGTTAGCATATGAGAAGTTTTTACAAAGTAGAAGAGATGCAAGGAGGGAAGAGTATATGGAGAAAAAGAGAGGTTAAGAGTGTGGTGAAGCAATGTAAAAAGAGAGCAAATGAGAGAGTGGGTGAGATGTTATCAACAAATTTTGTTGAAAATAAGAAAAAGTTTTGAAGTGAGATTAACAAGTTAAGAAAGCCTAGAGAACAAATGGATTTGTCAGTTAAAAATAGGAGAGGAGAGTTATTAAATGGAGAGTTAGAGGTATTGGGAAGATGGAGGGAATATTTTGAGGAATTGTTAAATGTTAATGAAGATAGGGAAGCTGTGATTTCGTGTATAGGGCAAGGAGGAATAACATCTTGTAGGAGTGAGGAAGAGCCAGTTGTGAGTGTGGAGGAAGATCGTGAGGCAGTAGGTAAAATGAAAGGGGGTAAGGCAGCCGGGATTGATGGGATAAAGATAGAAATGTTAAAAGCAGGTGGGGATATAGTTTTGGAGTGGTTGGTGCAATTATTTAATAAATGTATAGAAGAGGGTAAGGTACCTAGGGATTGGCAGACAGCATGCATAGTTCCTTTGTATAAAGGCAAAGGGGATAAAAGAGAGTGCAAAAATTATAGGGGATTAAGTTGTTGAGTAAAGGTAAAGTGTATGTAGCTTGAATTGAAAGCATTAAGAGTAGGGAGAATAGGATGCAGATGAAGTAGTTTTAGAAGTAGGGGTGTGTGAAGGGTACAGTGAGAAATATAAGTGAAGTTCAGAGGAAAGGCTGGAGGCAGTGGAGGATGTCATGTCTGAGGGCAATGTGTGGTGTTGAATATAGTGAGAGTAGATTCGAAGTAGTTGGAGTTTAGGGAGGAGGTCGTGAGATTACAAAAACTTTGTCCAAGGGCTTGAGGAAGGTTGTTGAGGTGGTTCGGACATGTAGAGAGAATGGGAGCTAAACAGAATGACTTCAAGAGTGTATCAGTCTGTAGTGGAAGGAAGGCGGTAGGGGTGTCGCCTAGGGAAGGGTTGGAGGGAGGGGGTAAAGGAGGTTTTGTGGCGAGGGCTTGGATTCCAGCAGGCATGCGTGAGCGTGTTTGATAGGAGTGAATGGAGACAAATGGTTTTTAATACTTGACGTTGCTGTTGGAGTGTGAGCAAAGTAACATTTATGAAGGGATTCAGGGAAAACCGGCAGGCCGGACTTGAGTCCTGGAGATGGGAATACAGTGCCTGCACTCTGAAAGAGGGTGGTTTGAATGTTGCAGTTTAAAAAACTGTAGTGTAAGACACCTTCTGGCAAGACAGTGATGAGTGAATGATGGTGAAAGTTTTCTTTTTCGGGCCACCCTGCCTTGGTGGGAATCGCCGGTGTGATAATAAAAAAAATAATTAAAATAAGTCGTTGAGTATACCTGGTAAAGTGTATGGTAGAGTTATAATTGAAAGAATTAAGAGTAAGACGGAGAATAGGATAGCAGATGAACAAGGAGGCTTTAGGAAAGGTAGGGGGTGTGTGGACCAGGTGTTTACAGTGAAACATATAAGTGAACAGTATTCAGATAAGGCTAAAGAGGTCTTTGTGGCATTTATGGATTTGGAAAAGGCGTATGACAGGGTGGATAGGGGGGCAATGTGGCAGATGTTGCAAGTGTATGGTGTAGGAGGTAGGTTACTGAAAGCAGTGAAGAGTTTTTACGAGGATAGTGAGGCTCAAGTTAGAGTATGTAGGAAAGAGGGAAATTTTTTCCCAGTAAAAGTAGGCCTTAGACAAGGATGTGTGATGTCACCGTGGTTGTTTAATATATTTATAGATGGGGTTGTAAGAGAAGTAAATGCGAGGGTCTTGGCAAGAGGCGTGGAGTTAAAAGATAAAGAATCACACACAAAGTGGGAGTTGTCACAGCTGCTCTTTGCTGATGACACTGTGCTCTTGGGAGATTCTGAAGAGAAGTTGCAGAGATTGGTGGATGAATTTGGTAGGGTGTGCAAAATAAGAAAATTAAAGGTGAATACAGGAAAGAGTAAGGTTATGAGGATAACAAAAAGATTAGGTGATGAAAGATTGGATATCAGATTGGAGGGAGAGAGTATGGAGGAGGTGAACGTATTCAGATATTTGGGAGTGGACGTGTCAGCGGATGGGTCTATGAAAGATGAGGTGAATCATAGAATCGATGAGGGAAAAAGAGTGAGTGGTGCACTTAGGAGTCTGTGGAGACAAAGAACTTTGTCCTTGGAGGCAAAGAGGGGAATGTATGAGAGTATAGTTTTACCAACGCTCTTATGTGGGTGATGAATGTTGCAGCGAGGAGAAGGCTGGAGGCAGTGGAGATGTCATGTCTGAGGGCAATGTGTGGTGTGAATATAATGCAGAGAATTCGTAGTTTGGAAGTTAGGAGGAGGTGCGGGATTACCAAAACTGTTGTCCAGAGGGCTGAGGAAGGGTTGTTGAGGTGGTTCGGACATGTAGAGAGAATGGAGCAAAACAGAATGACTTCAAGAGTGTATCAGTCTGTAGTGGAAGGAAGGCGGGGTAGGGGTCGGCCTAGGAAAGGTTTGAGGGAGGGGGTAAAGGAGGTTTTGTGTGCGAGGGGCTTGGACTTCCAGCAGGCATGCGTGA